ATGGGGGGTTTTGGCCGCTGCTCACGTGAAGAAGCGAGAAAGCGTGTCGCAAACAACGACCTGTTGAACGATTGAATGAGAATTGAAAAAGAAAATAGCGGTGGTAGAACGCGCCCCACAACGGAGCTTCAACTCCAAACCACCATCAGCAAGGCGCACCTGCAGACTGGAACGTGGGCCCTTGTCCACCCTGAGGCCTGCCCACCCGATGAAGGCAAAGGTAAGCTCGGAAGGATCCGGAAAGACCAAAACAGTCCCAATGCCATGTGCCCCCCACGTGCTTCGAGCGTGATACTTGAGAGCCAATGGCTACGGCATGACAGCCTATTCAACGAATGAACAGGATGGAAAATGAAATGTCAGCCACACGTGAAAACCGAGAAAAGGCATACCATGTCAAGAGTCGAAAACGCGACAAAAACAACTAAACCAGCTGTGGAAAACTTGGCGCGTTTGCTTCCTCCTGAAGCGCATCCCCGTCCGAAGTACAGTTTTCACTGAGGCTTTCCACGTCCGTTTCACGTTTCGTTTTCGTCCTTCGCGGTTGGCGCAGGACAACGAATGTTGTTTTATGTTGTTTTGGGTAAGGAAGGTGAACAGAACGTTGAGCGTCAATCTGTTGGAATCTGTGTTTCTGTTGCTCCGATTCTTCAGGCGCGACTTGGAGACCAAGGCCTGGCTTGATTAGCAGCAACTGCCTGTCTCTTCTTCCATGCAAGGAGAGCCCTGGCAGACGAAAGGCGCCTCAAACAAGCGCTTGTTATGAAAGGTGATCTTGCTGATGTGATCCCAAGTGCACTCCTTGCGGTAGCAATGACATCACCACTAATCGATGCATTGCCAAAGACCGTGAATGTGTGACAGATGCAGAGCCATGTTGAATGGCCTTCAACGGCACTGTGCACAGACATGAAGCAGGTCCCTGGACAGGTGTCGTGGATCTTGAACACGCTGCCGTACTCCCAGCCTTAGGTTCGTTTGGTTCTGCCGTCACATCAAGATATATCAAGATGGAACAAAACATCAGAACCACGCATAATGTGGCAAGGCTCTGCACACATGGATACCCAAAGCAATCTGGATCCCGGAACCTGCATGCGACTACGCAACACTTGAGAAATGGTCTGTAAAGATATATTATATATATATATGTACACATCTTGCATGCGGCTTGCACATGGGATGTTAATGAGTGGTCAAAATTAATAGGCATCATACCTATCACTTTTGGCGAGGGGCCTTTCCTGTCATTTTCCCTCGCAAATGCTGCTTCCACATCCCCATGTCGTCGTCAATGTAACCCATGACTACGGTATGACGCTGTGCTTCAAAGAAAAAACTCTTGCAACACAACATTTCTGAAATAATGCCTTGGCATGCCGCTAAAGCTGCACAGAATATGGAGGTGAAACGTGCCTGCCTGTTGCGAAGCCAAACGATGTCCAGGGAGCGCTCCGCACGGGCCAGGCCAGTGCACAGGTCTGCCAAGGTCTCGAAGTGTACGTGCAAGCGTGAAGCCTCAGACGCGAGTATGAGTCCAAATCGTGTCTGAAGCGTGAATGCAGTGCGAGGCCAATGCCAAAAGATCGTGGGCGGCTGTATCCTGCTGCACACGAGACACGTTGCATCGCATCGAGGCTTTGAGGTTTTGACAAGGTTGAAAGTCCTGCAGCTCGTAGGCCCTCTGCGAGGACAGCACCTCTTCGACAAGCTTCTCACGTCGTTTCACGCCTGACAGGGCCATCTCTGCTGACAACACGCGAAAGAGTGAATCATGTGGCAAGACGGCGCTCAGCAGTAAAACTTCAGCAGCTGGAGACCTGTTACTGCGTTGGGAATCATTGAAGCCACAGTTTGATTTTTGGACTCTCGCCAACATCTCATGTACGACAACACTTGGACATCTTCCATACGAACATGTGCGTGACCGTGACCCTTCCTCATTTGGCTTTCTCTTGTCCTGCCTGGGTCAAGGTGCAGTGCATCAGGCAGGAGAGACTCTGGCCCTGATTGCCAGGCTCGGCTTGGATGCTTCGAGGGCACCTGTCTTCCAGTACACACGACATCGTGATTAAATCTCTTGAAAGCTGCTTGAGGTTGCTGCATCCCCAACCACCGTCTTCGCCCAGGAGCTGCCTTCGATGCTTCCACATACTGCTTTCATTCGTCAACTGCGAATCCGCAAGCCTGGAGCCAACAGCTCCTGCACACAGCAGATTGCTCTTTGAAAAGCTGGCAGACGCAGCAAAGTTGCAGATTCTATGTGTGATCTGCAAAGCTTTTGATTGATGCGAAAAAGAGGCCGCTTGGCAATTATTATCAGACGCTTCCTGGGGAGTGTATTTGGAACGGACAGGAGAAGGCAAAAGAAAAAAAAAATCATTAGACAGATGGTGTCATGAAATGCCTTCGGCTGCGTGCTTCAAAAAAGAGCAGAGCGAGATTCACCCGGCATGCAACATCTCAGACAAAATGCTGTACAGCTACAAGCCGGATGGTGCAAGAGCACTGGGCTTGTGATGTGGCGTTTTGCATCTTGAAATTCACGGCTTTAGCGCATGACCATTGAAGCGGGGTGCATCTTTCAATGTCTGCGGCGTTCAGTGTCATAAGAATGTGTCGCCAGCTTTACAGATAGAAAGATGCTGCAATTAGACTTGAGAGCCAAGCCGGAAACAATGAATTCAAATCGCCACTTCTCGAGCACTTCAGTGCCAAAAGAGGAGGGAAGCCTAACGCAACCACCGAGCATGATGATATTCGCGTCACTGCTAGATTGTGAGCGCAACAGAAGGAGGTCTGATGCAAAAACCAAGCCGCCTAATCTTATTTTCTGTGCCAAGACCACGCAGGTGCAAGCACTGGAGACTGAAGAGAAAAAGGTTTGACACAACCACCAGGCATTTATTCATACCATGGCTGTAGTGAGCTGAGTAAGCCCCAGAAAGCTAACCAACTCATGAGCTAATCTTAGAGTAGATGTCATCCCGTAGCAAAATTCATGTGCTGATTCAATCTGTTTCGACTCCGCGTTCTCCCTCAGCCTCCCACCAAGCTTCATGCCTTTTAAACACTGAACTTCCCTTTTTCCCCCCAACCTGGGTTAGACTCGACAAATGGAAGCTTTCCGCACCTTGTCGGCCACTACTACTGCTAGAGCAAGACAACTCAAGCCTAGCACCGCGACTTGTTGACTTTCTCGTCTTGACAGGTCATTGAAGGTGTCTTCCACGGCACAGCAAGATGTGCTGCACTGATGGAGTGTGCCAATTCATCACGTATCATCCGTTTATCAACTACCTCTGGTGGTGCCTGTCAGAGTGGTTTGGCCACACTTGTGATGCCTCTGACATCTCTTCAGCGCGCTTCTCAAATCAAGGCACAGGCTACTTACTTGGACAGGCTTGCCATTCTCTTAGGAACTTCATCTCAACTTTGAAAATCAAAGAGCTTGTCTGTTCCAGCTCAAAACATCACAACAAATTAAGACGTCTAGCACGCCCCAACACGAAATGCATGAGGGAGCTGACGGATGAAGATCATTTAGGAAGTTGAAGTGTGACAACATGCGACAACAGCATGTCAGCGGCTCCTTCAGTTGCAGGTGCGCTGCCTGACTGATGGCGAGCAGGCCGGAAAGCTCACGGACCTGCCATGATGGCTTTGGGACAGCTGGCACAGCTCCAACTTCTCACTCCCCTGCAACATCTGAAGGCGCCGCCCCATGCCAGCAAGTGTCTTTCAACATCTGAGGCTCTTGAGCAACCAGGTGCCCACCTGCAAAGCGCCCTGAGACCCAACACTACTACATGACAGAACGTGAGTTCTACTCTGTGAGCGTCTGCGCTTCAACAGTTGAAGGAGCTTCCATGGTGCCACAGCTTCGACAAATTCTGAGTATTACTTGTATCTCCTCCGTACGACTTCGCCTGCTCCAAATTCTAGGACTGTAAATTGGCATTCTAAAACAAATTGAAGAATCTGCTTTGATATAGGCCACGCGCATTTTTTTACTCTCAAGGGGAATACAATTCTGGGCCCTTACACATCAAGTTGTGGCTGCACACAAGTCCTTTTATGCGATATGGCCAACCAGCGCTTGAGACACAGACCTGTAGAACAATCCTAACGTGGACAAGTCGACATCCATCAAGGCCCCTGCCACGGAGGCATAAGCTTGGCCTAAGTGCAGCCAACACAACGCGACTGCATACACTGACCTGTTCGGGCCTTGTCAGCAAGCTTTCAAGCTCCTGTGACTCCTCTTTGTGCAGTGTGTCCAGAACGGGCCTTCTAAGCAGTTCAATTCAGGCCAATGGAGAGTTCAAACGAATCAAAGCCATTGGATCAGGTCTGGCAAAGATGCCTGTAGACCCGGAAGAATTTCAGCGATGCCTGTAGCTATGGCTGCGCACAGCAGTCAGCTGGGCGGCAACTGCAATGTAACGAGATGTGCCTGGATCATGGAGTCCACCCTTCTGGGCAAGATGATCGTCTTGGGGATTGCCATGCGCAGACTATTCACGAGCCTCTCTTTGGAAGGCCTGCTCTGATGCTTTAGTCTCACTCGTTGCAGCTCGTTGCATCGCACATGAGGGCCTGATCTCAACTTTCAGCGTACCTCGGCGGATCTGCGGGCACTTGCATGAAAGCCCAAACGGTGTCTTCTCTGTCTCTCCCTGCAGCTGCGCGACTGATTTGGGCACTGACAGCACGAAGTACATGCAGAAGGCTTGTCGCTTCTGGCCTCTGTGCCTGCCAGACAGTGCTGTGCAAATCTGTGCAAAGAGCAATGCCGACCACCGACACCTCTTCACTGAACAGAGCCCTCTCCAGAAGTCTGGCAACGCCACAAGGTGACCTGATTTCCGCTAAGACGTTACAGTCCTGAAAAGGACTGGGAATGCATGTTGGATTTTGCTTGCTGCCAATCTGTCCCGAGTCTCCCCAAAGCAGCGATGCCTCTACCTACACCGCTGAGAGTTTGAAACAGGCAGGGAACTGAATGCGTATGACACAGAATCGCTGGCAGGGAAAGCACACCAGGAATTTGTGCCCAACTCGTCCCAAGTCGCTCTAACAAGTTTCTCTTTTTTTTTCAATGGATCCAGGCACCTGACAGTGACTATGGATGCTCCGTGTGAGAACCAGCTAGAGCCCACGCAGGAACTTCGTTACTTCTGCAAGCGCCTGAGGTTCCTAGACAACGACTAGAAGCAAGCATCTTTTGAGCTTCTACAATGCCTTTATATCCAGCCCATATCCTCAATTTAGTCTGCGGTTCATTCTATGACTTCTACTCCGGCTGCTGCTACTACAATTATATAAAAACATCTTTACATTATTGTTACGACGACCACCATGAACGCCGCCGCCGACGTCACCACCGCCACCACCGCCACCACCGCCACCGCCACCGCCACCGCCACCGCCACCGCCACCGCCACCGCCACCCCCACCCCCACCNNCCACCACCACCACCACCACCATGTCGATGAGAAGGACGATGACGACTGCTACCACCACTGCAACACCACCAACATTCAACTCACCAGAGAATGGACCTTGTATGACCTTGTGATAGAGATGCGCACGCTTTTGAGATACTGTTTTTAGCAAAGAGGACTATTGTTCTCGACCAGCCGCGAAGAGAACGGAATGTCTATGTCGCACAGAAGATCTCGCTGTCCATCCTGCCACAATGTACTCAGCGATTTGAGATGTGCAAATGTTAGAAGCATTTGGTGGATCCAGTCCTTGAACGAATTGACCTTCAGCACCCGGATGGGACCTTCCCGAAGCCGGAATTCGACCGAAGGAGCGCAGCCGATGCTTCAAGTACTTCATGCATGAGAAACATGTACCAAAAAAGTGCTAGGACTGCGGCTGAAATTGCTGATAAACAAATGCCATAAGAATCACTGCTTAGTGCGCAGCAGCGCGCAGCTTCGTCGACTTGCCGGTTGAATGGGTTTGTCAAAGCTGAGGCTAAGGCCGGCATGAACTCCGTACGCTGAAAGCAAACGCTGAAAGGCTGTTGCCACCTCTTGGGCAAAGGCTTGGTGATTTGCCGAAAGTCCACCAAACCTTGAGCTTGCACTTCTAAGCTTTGCGCACGCAGTCCAAGCGAAGAAGATGTCGCCTTTGGAAGTGCCTGCTGTCAGGTCTACGTATCTGTCTGAAGATGTCTGAAGTTCTGCCTCCCATTCTTCCAAAGATCCCCAAGGTACAGTAGAGAAGCTGCCTGCAAGTTGGCAAGGATGACCTGCACGCATGCAAAAGCATAGTCCATCATCATTGACATCCTGAAGCCATGCCAGGCTGGCCTCATCCATGAGGGTTGTCTGTGGGGCAAGTCGACCCCCTGACGAGCGGCAGCATGCAGCAGCACATAAGGAAGAACGGATCATCCACAGTCCTCCAAACTACGGTCGACCCATACCAGGATGCAAAGACATGGACTTCAGACTCAACAGACAAGTGACACTAGAACTGTCAAAAGATGGGCCTGCCACGGCCGCCCGTGCTCGTGCGAGCCGTGCTCGCACACGAATGCGAGTTGTGAGCAGCTCCTTCCGCAGGCTTCATCTTATTTTCCCGTTTTCCTGGGGATTTCCGCAGAGGGCAGAGGGTGCGTAACCGCGTTTCCCTATACCCCGATGGATGTGCAATTGGGTTCCAATGCAGTGCATCCTCTGACCATATACAGTATGTGCGGGCAACAGCAAAGTTCACCGAATGAGAAATGCAAGCTCTTCCGGTCTTCCACGCTTTGGAGATCCAGAAGTTCTAGGCCATCGAGCCGAATCTCGTGCAGTACTAATACCCCCAAAGCGCGAAAGCCACCACCTTGACTTGATTTGAAGCAAGCTTCGGGAGCTCTGTCAGTAACATCATGCAAGCAGTACACAGGCACGACATCTGTCTGCAGCACTGCTACTAACTGTTGAATCAACATCTAGCTGGTAAGGTCTACAATGAAAATGACGTTCCCAGGCATGTGGCAGGCAATCACTGTGCATTCTACTTCATCGAGGACAATCATTTCACGACATTTCGTCTGTCAGAATTCTAGAGAGTTGTAGAAAACACAACAGCAGTGTCGAGCAGCTTTTCCTGGATGCTGGCACTTATAGGCATTGGGGCAGAGTGTATTTTGTGCTGCAACTTTAGATTTTGTGGAGGGGCAGGAAAGTGCCATCAACTAAAAGATTGGTTCAAACATCCGCCAGATTGTTCCGCTGAGCCATTGACCCTTGATGGTCTATTGAAATCAAGGCTCCTACTACCCGAACCAACATCCTCGTTAACTTATTACCAAGCTGCTGCAAAGGCTTCAAGTACCACATGGTGTTTGTTTGTATTTGTCCGTCCGCTGTGTCACTAGCTTCCATGAACTGATGTCAGATTTGATCTTGCTGTGCTGTGTTGTGGGATTGCTCAAATGCAACGTTGTTCCGTCTTTAGCCTCAGTGTTGGAAGTACCTTGCATCTTGTCCGCAAGGCTGAATGATTGTGATGCCTACATCTTACGGCATTCTGTCTCTTCCTGCCCAATACGCGAGTACAGACGATTGCTCACATTGCTCCTGCAGAGCAACAGCGTTTGCTCGCAGCATGTCTCGGCTGTGGCGCATCGCCTGACAGCAAAAAGGCAAGTTTGTCAGCGCCGCTGTGCCATCGCATATACTGTTGTGTCTGTGGCTACATGTTCTCTGAACATTCAGCAACGCAAGAGATGTCTTGAAAATACGCTCCACTGGTTTCGAAACCCGCGGACAACTGCTTTTGCTTCACCAGGCATCAGCTTTCAGCTTTGGTTCACATGCCCTGAATGCGGTGCAGTGCTGGCTCGCCATGCTCGCCCTTGGCCTGGTGCAGCTGCGCATAGCATGCACATAGCTGCCGAATGCTGCCATCCCACAAATGCTTCCAGGGTTTGAAGCGAGCTTGGAGATTCCTTGGCCGTTGCATGATCAAAGCGTCGCCTTGCGTGATGCGCCAGCCAGGTTTTTGCTTATTCCGGCAGCATGAAGCGTCCCCACCACTGCCAGCACGACTTTCCTAGGGTCAGGTGCGGCTGGTAGCCTTCACGCTATAGCTTGTACCCTGTAATCGAAACCCTGCTCAAGGCTCCTGGCTCCTGCTTGATCAATGGGTCTACTTAGTGCCAATGCTTTCCGAGAACGAACTTACAACGTAACAGGGGAAAAATATTTGCTGATCCGACCAGGATCTGCTGTCCACCGTAACGTGCACAAAATGGAGCTTCCATAGCCAGGACCAGAATGTTGCGGAAAATCGCAATGGGAGTGGATACGAGAAGTAGAAATAAGGCCACAACAAATGAGACTGAAGATGCATCTGACCCGTCGAGCTCGCTGCTAGAATTTCTACAGCTGCTTGCATTCCTTCCGCCTGAAGCAAGCGTAGAAAAGCAGTCTGCTACATCGGAAACAATGTTTGACCAGCCGCTGAGGCTTCGCATGTCCTGAAGTGTTGTTGCTGAAACTTGTTGAAGAACCACATCCAGCTCTTCGTCAGATAGGTCGGCGAACAAGACCGGAACAGGACCTTCCCCAGCTGTCCTTGCTTGCTGAAGCAAGGGACAACAATGTTCTCTAGTTTGTGTCACTGAAAAGAACAACAGAGGCAGTCTGAGGTGATAATTAAGAACTGATTTTGTGCGCAAGGCACTCTGCCACAGCCTGCATCTCGTTGTCCAGCAAAGTTCTCTGGAAGGAGCCGCTGGGGTGCAGCGTTTGCCTCAGAGTGACATTTGGCTACTGATCAAGACCACATGCCCCGCATGCACGTTTCTATGTTCTCTGATCAGAGGGTCTGGATCACACACTTGATTTGCAGTGTCTGGAACGATGATTGCGGGGATAGTAGTATGTGCTAAATACTTTGTTTGGTCTGGAACCTCGAAACACGTATGGAACGGGCACCCAGCGCAACGTGAGTTTTGAGATAGTGCATTCGTTGCTTTGGAATGGAGGGGGCACAACGGAACTCGAGGACTTGTTCCGAATCTTTGGATCGGGAAGTGCGTTTCCCCTTGTTCCGGACCAATCATATTTAGCGGTAGCCATTTGTTGTCTGAGCCATACAATGACTGTGGTGCAGTTCATCTCAAGCAGCTGCACTCAGCTTCCGTCAGCTTTGCTGACATATATATATATACTAGATAAAATCAGGTCAGGGGCCAAGCCCTTGAACACGTTCGAGAAAAACGCTAATATGTCTGAGGCGTGTGCATTCGCTGCCACCTCTCATCGAACATTTCCAGCACAACCGCCGCAAGAGCGTCTTGGTCCAAGAGCTCAATCGCCAGGCTCTTCGCACAGAAGGTTGAGAAGGGGTTGAAGTGCATGCAGCCAACCAAACATACAAGGGTTCCTGATTCAGCGTCTCGAATCAGTCTGGCTTGAGACGAGGCCAAAGGGTCCAGCTTTGGCAGCGCCTGCCGACATGAACGAGCACTTTGCGTTGGCGAGGCCACTCTGACAGTTGGTCGTGTCAAGGCCGTGAAAGGAATTCCAAAGAAGCATACAAAACCGGTGCAGAATGCAGGACAGAAGTGAAGTCGAAGCTTCCTTCGCTTGACAACGCCCATGGCCCAGGCCAAATGTACAAGGCTTGAGCCAATTCACCACAAGTGCATTTCGCAAGACCTGGCAGATGCTCAGGAGTTTCACCTCCTGCCTTGATGTCCGGGCGCGGCGGGTCTCTGAATTTCTGCAATTCCTGCAGCTTGTGAACTACAGGCACTCCATGCTGCAAAATTTGCCCACCTCGAACTCCTCGAAGGAGATAGTTCCCTGGAAGTCAGGACAGAGCTTCTCGATACTGTGCATGCGGTCACATCCTGTCACCCCAGCCAAGCCCAGCCTCATCGTCTCTGTCCAGGAAGCGGAAGATGGGCAACGTTGGCCCAAAATAGGAGAACGATCTTGCCACGGACACCCATTCCGCTTCCTTGGGCATTATCCCGAGCAGGCTGCATGACATAGCTTGTAAGATCTTGTAAGACCGTGGCAGAGATGAAGTTGTCTCCGTTCACGTCGAACACTGCCCAGGCAGCCTAGCAGTGCCGCAAGCGCTCGCAGGCCACTCCACAAGAATTCTGCCTAATTCTGCCAAGCCACGTTCAGATCATTCCCAAACGAACGATTGCAGAAGTGGACAAACTCCTCAGGATCACACTTGGCACAGCACGGTCCTGCCAAAAATGCAGACGTGAGTATCCTGGATGGAGTACACCATCTCTTTGTGACAGAGCTCTAGTATGCCTTGACTGCCAGACACGAGAAGTGCTCAAAAGTATTTCACGAAAACCGACAACAGCGTGCGCCATCGTGCGCCGCATGTTCTACAACAAAGTGGTCACACGGTGTCATTCCAAGGCACCCCATTCGCTTCGCGTTACTTGGCCCTCACCACTAGGATCCAAGTAGCCTCGCGGATGCATAGTGTGGACGTCTACAAGCAAACCAAAGACATGCATAACAGCTGCATATGTCACTTACTTGCAGATGAGCTGCGGAAAATGCCTGCGACAGGGCAAGACGCACTAAAAATAGATGACGCTCATGAGTTAGTTGAGTTCCAAGGTTGTCTCGCAAAAGAGCAGCGAAGGTGCACAACAAAGCCAACGGGCGAAACCATGGAGATCAGAGAAGACGCAGCATAGCTAGCAGCACCTTTTACTAAGTTGCTGCCGCCACGGTGCCAGTGATTTTCTCCACTTCACGTCGCCCTTTGAACTTCTTGCATTTGACCCGCCTGGCTTGCAGCAATGCGAAAGCGTATACTGTGGGCAAAGCATTCGTTGGGATTGGTGGGCTGAGGGAAGGTCTCGCCACACGTCGTTAGCCGTAACATGGAAACATGCTGGACGTTCAGTGAAGACAGTCTTTCATTGATTCGGAGAAGGAGTAGAAACAGCTAATACTGCCTGCGCCAAGGACAGGTCAACAGCAAGAGCAAAACACGTTCTTCCTGCAGGCTTGTTGTTGGAATTTGTCAAAACAGCCTACCGCAAAATCACTTGCAAGTGCAGAGAAAGTCTTCACTGCTCTCAGGCGAATTGCAGGCGATTGCGGCCCATCAAAGACCAGCCTAGCCTGGACTTGGAGATTGAAGAGTCATTACTCAGATGACTGCTTCAGCATCTCACTTGCGTTCTGAGGGGAGTTTGCTTGTAAGCCTCAAACTTAAAAGAGCTGACCGACTCAACGCGGGAATCTCAGGAGGTGCAAGCATAATGCTCCCAGATTCATAGCCGCATGTGGAATTCTTAGTTGGTGGAAGGATTTCTCTGTTTTCTTGCATTCACGAACGAGACCTTTGCCTGTCAGATCATGACGAAGTTTTTTGTGGGTTCTGAGAACATGAGCCCGGAACCGTGACAACCGAAACCGTAGAATCAATGTGCGCAAAGCCGCACAAAAGCCAAATCTGCGCCGAACCGACAAAAAAGTTCACCGTTATCAACCTGAAAGCATGCTTTGACATGTAATAATCAGTCTAGACTGCCATTCTAAATCAACAAGCCCACCAGGCTAGAATGATGTGCTGGAAGAAAAGCCATTCGACATCCTTGGAACTTTGAACTATGGATCTTAAAGCCGGGTTCCAAGCGTAGCCCCAAGGTGTAGCACGAAGAAAGACTTTGCTATTGAAGGAGCCTATGATTCAGATTTCCAAGACGCATGTAGTCATGTGAGTGCCTTTGTCTGCATTGTAAAGGTAACCCTCTGTAAGGTGCATCAAAGCCGGCATGCGCAGCGGCGTGAACACTGATGGTGAGGACGGCCTACAGGACAAGCCGGACCCCAAATTGCCCCCTTTTTCCCGGGGCGCGGAAGATCTTTCAAGCCTTCTTTAGAAATTGTGAGCTTAGCAGCTTTCTGCAGAGAAAAGCCGAAGGCGTACAACAACACACTTCAATGCATGGGACAAGGATTCAGATGATGATGGTCACCAAACTGAAAAGCCAGACTGAAAGTGAGTTCCTAGTTGGCACAAAAAACCGTAGGCATGTCTTCCTGAGAACTGACAAGGGCCTCCAGTAATGAATTTCAATGGCGAATGAAAGGTTCAGAACCATTTTATGGCGTGCGCAAAACGGGGCGGTCAATGCACTGGCACAAAAAAAAATGCCAGACCTGACAGATCATTTGGCGGGTGTGTTCCAACTGCGACAGGCGCTTTGTGCAATCGATCGGCACCTGAACTGTGGCTTTCCCACATCTCGTGCGGCTCAACATCTCTTCAACAAGGAAAGACCGCTAGATCAGCTCCCCGAACCGCAACCGCCGCTCAACAAGGTGAAATGCAAGGCTTACAGACTGCCAAAGCCAACTGCCCTAGTGCTGATCATCAGCTTGTCTAGCCTAATCAAATCAAGCTTTTCTGGTGCAGGCTGAGGAAATGATGGGCGACGGCCAGGCACCGGACAAATCATGCAAGTGTGCTCTTTAAGTCCCTGGTGAGGCTTTTGACTTCTTGTGTCAGTGGGTCCTGAACCTGAGGGTCCTTCTGCTCGCATGTTGGAATGTGCACAGGGGGTCGGCTTCAGGAGATAGCTTGGAAAAGGCTGTGCTCGAGGTGTAAGTTTCAGAAACATGTTCTCAAGCCCCTCTGGAAAACCGCTCGTAAGAAACTCCAGCTGCTCCCAACCCTCATGTCTGCCCCTTACGGCCGCGGCATCCAGAATCCGCTGCTACATTCCATGCCTTCCTGCTTGGCAATCCTATAGCGCAAACATGTGGCCCAGCGTAAACATCCCAATACAAAAGCTGGCGGCAGCAAAAAGCCGGCAGCGCTTCAAGCCCTCTTCGAAGTCACGGAGATTCAGCACCTGCGTGTTCCTGACGGACAGCTTCATTGAGAACATTGAAGAACAGGCATGCGAAACGTTTATCCGCAGAAATTCCTCGAGGTGAGTTATGCTTACAATCGTCTTATGCCTGAATCTAAGATGAGGATGAACACCATCTTGCCCGAGGGTTCAGTGAAGTGCTGCTGAAGTGAACCCCTTATTCTGAACCCCTTATTCTGCGCCGAATCTAGGGAATTAATTGCGCAAGCGTAGTTCCTGATTAGCCTCACTGTGACAGCGAACGGCATGTGGAGCATCATACTTCTTCAGAAAAACTGGGCTGACTGTGCTTACCCAAGCCAGGATTCTAATCACCAGCAGATCCCGAGGCCATTACGCAAGCCAGATCCCTGTTTGTACAGATGTAAACTTGATCGATCAAACCCTTAGCACCGGACCTCGCGGCACACGGTAGCAGGTGAGAAATGCTAGGTTTGGACTTTGATCAACATTTTCAGTACCGCATGCACTGACGGTTCTTGCACTTGTGACCTCAGTCCGTGTTCATGAGACCTTCTGCCTGGAACGCGTGAAGTTCCATCTCCCAAACCTGAAAACCTTGCCGTGGTTTGCTCAGCTTTCCCCTGTGCAGATTGCAGGTTGCGCAGGCTTGCAAAACAAGAAGCTGAATTTAGAGTTTCAGACATTTTCGGGTCAGCGTTAAAGTCCCTTCACTGGAGTAACTGGACTGAGATGGCAGCCTGGTGCTCTTGATGTCATCGAAAGCCTGTCCAGCTGGAAAATGGGCGTACGATCATCAGGCTTTGCAAACCAAATCCTGCCTCAGACAAAGGATACTAAAAGTGCTGCTGCGCACAATGGGGACCTCCCTAAACGGGGAGGCGGAAACAGCTCCGTCCTGCTACTTTGTGCTGAAACAAGGATCAAAACCTGTCCATGACCTTCATCGATCCGTGGACGGAGAATTATAACCCGTAGACGATTTTGGTAGCGGGGTTGAGATCCTAGCTGCCAGTAGCACTACGTACCACTGGTGTCACGCCGCTTCTCGCTAATCGGTTTTCTGCAGCCAGGTCTGGGATTTAGATTCCTTCGTTCCAAATCTCTGAAACATATAAACGGATATTGGGAATTTGCACCAACACTCCCAGAACTGGCTTCAGGAAAGCGGGGGTCGCCAGGTCTCCAAATCACTTCTGAACAATTTCAGATTCAAAGTCCATACCAAACTAAAACTAAGTGCTATTGCAAGAACACAGCCCAGGAACTCCAGGAACCCAACTGCAGCTCAACAGCGGTCGTTTCAGCTATCCCTGAAATGAAACGAAGCAGTAAGCACTACATATAACAGCCGACGCCAAGTAATTCCCCAGCCCCAAACTTATTCGGGATCTCACAGGGCCTCATAGACATTGTCGTACCGCTCAATCACAAACCTGGACTTCATGTTGCAACTCACACGACCTGCTGATGATGATTTGCTAGCTTCCCGCTTTCCGCCAAGCCACTCCAGAAACTCCATCACATCGACAGGAACTTCGTTGGTGGAGGCCCACCACAACACCTACTGAGATTTTCTACGCCGTTGGCTCCTAGAACAACACTATTCAACGGCCGCCTCTTCTTCTTGTACTCCGCAAGGCCAGTTGCTGTACACCTCAAGGTAGCTTCTGCGTACCTCAGGATTCGCTGAGCTGGATTGCAGTGGCTGGCACCAACCTAAATCCCTTGGCTGCCTGCCTTGAAATTGCGATCCTCCGGAGCGCACTTGTAGCTGATGTAGACGGTGCCATGTATAGGGATCTGGGAGAATGTCTCCCAGCCTTGACCCATGATCCACTAGGTTGCTCAACCAAAAACATGACAAGACTGCTGTCTAGCAAGTTGTGGCATCTCACAAGATGCTTGCGCGCGCAAACTTTGATTAGCAACGGCTTTTCGTTGATCGGACGTGGGTGCATTGGATGGCTCTTCTTGTTCTTGCTGTTGATCGGGAACCTGTGGGGTCTGGAACGTGTATGAGTATGGCCCTATCCTGAAACTCTGTTCAATGTTCGTGGTCTGGAGCGGGTACAGATCGAGTGCAGACAGAGGCATTTATACGAGAACATAACAGAACGAAATTCATACGGCAATCGGAACAAAGGGGTCCGGCTCAGGAACAACGACGATCTAGTGGGTCTGGAACAGGGTATGGAACGGAGGGGCCGATTGTAATGTTCCAGACCAAACGTCAAGATAAACTTCCATATTTGCTACGGACCACATCTATCCGCCTTGGCCAGGATCTGACTAGGGCACCAAACCCCCAAAAACGGTACATTTGGCCTCCTCATGCATGCTCTATGCATGCTTGCGTGCTGATGTGGACGCGCGTGCACGCCAGCGTCTACAATCGCCTGCACATGCGACATGGATGCTGCATCCTCATGTATCAGCCGCCCTCCCAGGGTCCCATTCCAACGCTGTGACAAGTTCAAGAATGCTGAAAAACGTGCACTCCAAGCACTTCAGAAGATGAGCATAGTTAAAGTTGAAGGCCCCGCCATTTGCGTCTTTCTAGGCACGGGAATGCAACTTCCCTATGGGTCAGCATTGTACCTGCGATGCTCTGAGTGGCTGACTTCGTGGCAAGCCCATAACGAGCCTTAGAGAACGCCCAGAACGCAGCAATGTGAAGCAGTGCTGCTACCGATCCGCATGATCTGCGCATGTGTGTGCTGGGCAGGAGGCGGGTCAACAGATCCATCACCACGTACCCATCTCGGCTTCTGGAGATTTGTCACACGCTCCTCATTTCAGATTAATGGGCCACAATTACGTATGCAGACGGTGACCTTCTTCGCCAGGTTGATGAGAGCGCAAAGAGCCTTGAAGACACACCGAAGCAAGCTATGAGAGATCACAAGTCTCCTGTCTCTTCGTGCTTCACTTCCACTGCACTTTGCTGACTGCACAGCATGCTACTTGCCGGACTTGTTCACTTACATTCTCCATTTTGAAGCTCCATGACTGACAGCACAAAAGAAGGCAAACAAAACTCGTGCAAAAAAATTCTCTCACGCGACACTGACATTGGTAAGGCCCGACAGCCCCAGTGCCTGCTGTGCCAAGGGAGAAAAACAATCATGCCACAAGCTGCCTTCTCATCCAACCTCACTGCGCTTTTCGCATGCACTTCGCTGCTTCGGCCGGGCATCTGTGCGTTCATCGAACCTGTCCAGTCGGAAGACGAAGTAGGCCTGGTGCGACAAGTGACAAGACGTCAACGTGAGAATGGACGCCTTGAATCAAGCAGAATCAAAGTGACCTGCTCCGGCTGAATCCACGGGAAGAAGATCAGGGCACCAAGTCGTCCTCGAAGTCGATTCACCTCTGCACCGACGGACAGGCTATAGCCTAGCCGGACTACACATAGAGCTTGCGCAAGGATGTCTGCTGCAGAGGTGTTGGCTTTCACTGTGTCCTATTGGAAGTGAAGTGCTTGAATATTACCATCAGCATCATCATTGCCAGCAATTTAGAGATTCAAATAGTCGACCTGCTCGTCACTGGAAGTAATCATGGACTCCTTGCCTAGATGGGAGGCACAAGCGAACCAGAGGAGAACCCGTCGAGCCAAAACAAACCACAGCTTGGCCATATTCCCGCCTGCTCGTCGTCGCCCTCAAAGCGCACTGAGAAGACCTTCTCATTGTGCATGTCACCAATGCCTGAAATGCTCCGTGCCAATTTCCGGCATAAGAGTCATTGATACTGAAAACAGCTGAGGGACGATTGAAGAATGTCACTAGGCAGTCCTCCCTATCATGCGGGTCCTGAGCAAGTCGTGTTCGAGTCAGATTGCAGGCCCATCGTGGCCAATAGAGGTCTGAGGGCCGCTCAAGAAAACACTCCAAGAGAGCCTCGCCAAGCAGCAACTGATAGCAATCAATGGCTTTTGACCTGCCCTCGGCGCGAGCTCATCTTGTAAGGTCAGTGCTCGTGTTTGCAAGGCCGTGATGTAGACTTGGTGCGAAACCATTCTCAAAGCCTGACGACTCACGTGCTGCTGTAAGTCCCTGAAAGCCTGCAAGCCAGGTTGCACAGTTGCCTGCATGTCGTCACGAGGCAGCTTCACCTGCAAACAGGGGCGGGCCGCACTGGTTCCTGTTCTTGTGACAATGCAGTTTGCCGCCTGTCCAGCGCTGCCCGCATTGTTGACACTGCCCTTCTTCAAGAAGTCCTGATCCTCCGGGAGTGTGGTAGCTGCCCAACGCTTGACATGGCGCGCATCCTTTGCCTGCAAGGCAATCAACACGCGCTGGAAGGATGCTTCGTCGAGGACTTGAGCTCCTGACAGCTTTAAGCACGGGATGCGTTCCGTTACACAATCCCAGCCTGCGGAAGCCTTGGCAAACTACAAGGTTTGCTAGGGCTGTTAGGGAATCTTAACATGGAACAAGGTAGGGCAAATAGGCAGCATGGTATTGGGGGCTGGCTGAAACGCTCGTGCGCGCTGGTCGGGCCTGCCCGTCCATACCATATCGGCTGTTGATTACAGCTCTCCCATTTTTCACTGCGCCAAAGAAAGCTTCCACGGCGCTGCATGTCCATGACCTCGCGGATCGAGTAAATCAGCGCTGCCGCTGAAGGCATCAGCAATCGAAAGACCGTCAGACAGTCTGACAATGGTCAGCTGACATAACTGCAAAACTTGACAGACGACGCCATTACGACATGACAGACGTGACACCTCCTCATACGGATAGCGGTGTCACGCATCGGTGACTGGATGGGAGAAGCACAACAGAACATCAGGCTTGCCTTGTGGGGATTTCCGGATCTAAGTAGCACTTGAAGACCATGAGATTGGCACAGCGGAGCTGTCCTGGAGGTGGTCGGGCCGAGCTGGAGTAGTCTAGCTCGAGCTTTCCAGCCTGCTACCAGCACCAAGTTTCCAAGTGTGTGTTTTTGCAAGAAGCGAAACGTAGCCAACATCTTCCTACCAGAGGTAGCTTCACTACCAGCCTCTGGGAGGAGCCACTCCGTCAACGGCTCCTGCACACAGGCTCTCTTCTCATCCAATCCTTCTACATCCTTCTACAGCACAACGTCGTCAGACAAACCTCAAGCGGGTTGTCGCGGAAAGCACTGTTGCGAACCTGCAGCCGGGTTTTGGGAGGTTGCCGTCCCTCTCACAGGGCTTGGCAGCGTGACATTGGCGGCTTACAGCAGTTGCCTGCGACCAGTCACCCATTTGAGAGGCGTCAACATGCCGACGACGAATCCTGCAGGCACATTGCCAGCATTTGCACGCTCAGCAGCCAGCATTTCTTACGCGGTCTCAGTCACCTGCCTGATTGAGGTCTCCCAGGAATCTAGCAGGACCTTGTGAGCTCAGATATCTAAACAAATCCCAACAGCAATTGACTCAAGCACGCAGATATCTTTCTCGGGCCAGTTTGAGCGCCAAGCAAGGGCCTCTGCGATGGCGTGCTCAGCCGGCTGGGACAGCTCGAGCCTGTCAGCACATTCACGAGCCGCTCTCATCCACCAGCAGTGTTGCACACAACGACACGTGGGCAGCTGAGCATTGCAAGGGGTATGCAAGGATGTTGATAGACACCAAGATGTGGCTTCACGCTCAGGGACGAAGCTCGGCTCTATGAGAGCTTTTGATTCAAGTGCGATTTAGATCAGTGGGTTTGAATTTTGAATGCAGGTACTTCAGCTGCAAAGGTGCAGAGGGGGACGTGGGCAGCCCAGGCTAAAGCTTGCTCGTGGCACAAATCATGCATGTTTGATCTCTGCACCAGTACGTCCACGCCTTACTCTAGACCAGCCCTTAAGCATTCACATGATTAAGAGCTCTGAATCCTGCCTGTAATGACCAGTTGGATTCTCGATGTTGAAGAACATGAGAGGCTTTGCATTTTGCAGAACTTGCATGACATCAGGGATGGATCGGGCAAGCCTCAAGTGCTTCCGCAAGCCGTTCACTCCACGTTTGCACCCATGATCTGAGTTCGGCGCATCATTATCAAACATTTTTCTGTGGCCTCAGAACAACGCGTTTGATTACATGTTTGCTGCCTGTATGACCTATCCGACTGCCAAGGGTGTAGCGCAGGCTCGAAATGCGGGGAACAACTTGGAAACCTAGACAGTGCTAAAAACAAACAAGCCTGAGCGAATTGCTGTCGCCTCTCAAGTCAGGTCCAGACAACTTCAGCAGGGGCCAAACAGGACCTGCACATCCTTAGGTCCGAAGTTGGACTTATAGCCTATAGCTGTCAAAATGATGTAAATTTGTCAGCTTTACTGAGGTCAGTTCCTCTCAACCACAGCAAAAGGCCTTGGGTCTGTACAAGATCATTTCTCTCCGCAAATACCGTCATCCAGCATTTCTGCAGTGGTGTCCGTCAAACTTATCGATTCGGTCGATGCTGTCGGTGTGTTGTATCATAATTCAAGTCTCACGAACTACTTATGATTGCCAACACTTTTAATTGTGATGCTGGGCTCTTTGAGCATCCGGCAAGGTGATATCCCGCGCCAGCGCATCAAGAAACACACCCTGTCCGTATGGATGCAGCGTCTGTGCAAAGCGTGCAGCACGGCATGCCTGATCTGGATCAACATCTGAAACAGTCCTGCAAGGTCAATGGCCTCTGCTGGTTGCTCTGCTGACCCACTCAGAACAAGAATGCTTTCGGAGCTTCAGACTTCGCAAGTTTCTGGTGGAAGCGCGCAAAGCGCACGGAATAACGGTGTGGCTCTACTTGCCCTACTAGAGGGGTCATGATCCAGGAGGTGTTCGACAGATGTCTTTCTCAATGAATTCTCCTCATGACCACGGGAGATTAATCGAGTAACCGCACCCGCGCTGAAAATGTGTTTAGCCCGGGTAGTCTTGGTCAGTTGAAAAGATGGCACTCCTCTCATGCTTTGGGGACGCAATCACAACGGCACCTTCAAAGTCAGCCATAGTCAGCCCATGTGCCTCAGGATTGATTACGGTAGACTGAGCCGCGAGATGTCGCGACGCCTGTAATCTGTACCATCCTGTACCCTGTAATCTGTACCATCCTGTACCACCTGGTACTGCAAGCCCCCTGGTATCTCAGCAGGGCATATGTGATTACAATATGTCTGTTGCTATTTGGAATATGAGCGTTCCAACGTCGCACAAAATCAGCTATCAGCATCAAAGCTCTGCTTGTTTGTCTGGACGAACACTTGAATTGGAACGCTCAAGCAACTTTGTAGAAGGCATCAAAAAGCGTTTCTTGCAACAGTCGCCGTCACCTGTGGCCGATGGTTGGGAGCATTGTGAATGTTCTAGAGAGTAGTCCCTACTGACAATGAGTGCAGGGTGCAGGGTGGCACATGCTTTTAACTATTGTTAACATGCGTTGCAGGAGCAACACTATGCGGAACTAGACACAACGAGACTCTGAGGCATGACCCGCAAATCTCATCATCGCTCATCTTGGGATAAGCATTTGTGAGAAAGGGTGGACATGAATTACCACCTACCAGGGCAGGCAAAACTTTGCATGAGCCCAGTAACGGTTCCGCAACATTGATTACGTCCACGTTCTGGCTAGTACAGAGGTGGGCCTCACATCCCTGGGCAAGTAGAGAGGGTCTAGACT